CAAATTTCAAATGATGCTTTGTGGTGACTGTCAAATAGTATCTTTGGAAGATAACTGCAAACAGTCATATTCCAGATGTTAGTGTAAAAAACTATTTCATACAGCAGTATGATCATTACTGATCAATACTCACCTTCATGGACACTGCTATTTGGCCAGTACAGACAAAACACAAACTCTAATATAATAGCGTAATGTATGAAAGCATGGCTTGATGACACACTGGAGTCATCCTTAACGTAACCCTTTCCCCTGCCACTGTAGCATTATAAATCCTAGAGCTCTATGTCTGCATTTGTTTTTAGGGGCACTGATGAAAATTTACAGCCATAGTTATGTTTTTTTTTTTTAAAGAAATAGCATTAATGCTGATCCCTCAGTATTAAACATTGGCAAAAGTAGAAACATATGAACAGTGAATGTGTTGGAGCGGGTCTGAACCGACTGTAGTTGGTGGAGGAAGAGAGAGACACGAGAGATAATGGCCACAAAACGGACTGCATACAATCTATTATTGGTTAGGCACACACAATGTTGCGTTGTACTAATGTAGGACAGGGTTTCCCCCCAGAACATTTATCAGGCATGGTGGCAAGAGGATGGTAGAGGTTTTTCCGTACACACGCTGACATTTTTGGTTATTCTCACACAACACAAGACTTTTGGTTGGTAATTTCCATGGAAAGGTCACATAAAACAAGATGAGTATTAATAAGAATAACTGTCAGAGCTACCACTTACTTCACCATCGAAGATATTAAAACGATCTTTAACAAAATGCATAAATAAAAAGATAAAATCCACATACAGTCATGGCCAAAAATATTGGCACCCCTGCATTTCTGTCAGATAAGGTACCACTTCTCTGAGAAAATTGTTGCAGTGGCAAGAGGATGGTAGAGGTTTTTACTTTACTGAATTCGGTCACAGTAGCAAGAAAAAGTAAGTGAACCGATTGGGTTATCTGGCCAAAATCAGCAAATTCATTGAAATATTTGTAATGGAAAATAACCGGAGATTTGTGTGATTTTAAACAGCAGTTTGTAAAAATTACATGTCTGTGTGGCTCACTTAAAGATCATCCATTGCAGGGTGAAGATTTGGACATTGGAATTTGCCATTGAATCATGCAGAAATCTCCTGTTTACTGACACAAAATACAGCCCAGTAAGAGTAGCTGAATGTTGCAAGATATAAGTAACACTATACTTACCTGGCTTTTAAAACTGCAGCTTCCATACTACACCGTGCTGCTTATAGCTATAACAGAGCAGTTCTTATGCATACGACTTCATCCCCACATTCTGATTGCTAGTTACTACTGTCTACAAATTTCCCACCTTTTTACTGCAGAATTCATTTCAGTGACAAAAAGCAGAATTTTGTTAACGTAATATAGATCACCCACTTTTTCTGGCTACAGTTGTTTATGTACCTGCTTTACATCAAAATAAGTGCGTCTTGCAGAAGCAGATTTTTTTATTTTAACGTTTAGGTTGTTTGTGAACCATGCCTGTGCAAGCTATTATGTAACCGAATACCTTAATTGCTAATGTTAGTCTTTACTATTACTATTGTGAAATTACGTTTTTGCTTTTTTCTGTGTTATAATTAGTAGAAATAATGATGATGTGCTGCATATTTCAATCAGTGTAATATCTGATCAGTAATTAACAGGCAATGTCTTCCACATTGTTTCATGTATTTTTGCAGTGAAAATTTTGAAGGAATCAATGATTGGCCGAACCACTGGACCATACAGAAAGGTGTTTGCAGTATCTTTCTTTAACTGGACAAATAGATAGGAACTTGTGGCACACAGAAATAATTATATTGCTTATTTGCTATAATTTGGGTTTGTAAATTGCTCTGGATAAAATCTTTTGCCAAATTAATAAATGTAAATATGGTTTGAAAATACATGAGCAACACCACAGTATCATAAAAGTGTACAGCTATTGAGTAAGGTTACTTGTCAAATGTCACATAATATATATTTTTGTTTACATTTAGTTTATTTTGTTGCCTATATCAACATAGTTTCTGTTTGATGGATTATTTGCTTTTGGATCACAGTGTTCTAGTAGAGTAATTAGAGATGGACTTAATGCATGTGCTTTACAAACACATTTATTTTTACAATTTCTTTACAAATGATTGCATGATTAACCTAACCCTAAATACATCAGTTGTGATACTTGTCAAAAAAATGTTGCAACACATTTGAAAATCTCCAATAGAACCCATATACTATGTTACAACCACACTTTGCCTGATGATGCCTGTTTTTGCCTTGTTCGTTGGGAGAGCTGAAGGGTATCGCGTGTTAGTTTAAGCCTCCTAACACTTTTTTTTTGATATTGCAATGACTTTTTCTTCTGTAGTCTATTTTTTGAGGCAAAATTTTCAATTTCAATTCTGATTTATTTGTATAGAACCAACGAAAGTCGTCCCAGGACACTTTACAGAGTAATGTCTAGAACTTACTATTATTATTATAATAGAGGAATACCCAACAAATCCCCTTTGAGCAGCACTTGGCAGCAGTGGGGAGGAAAAACTAAACTTTTCTAAAGTTTTTCTGATTTAATGATGCGACAGTTAATGATGCCCCCGCTGTTTGTCAAGCGCCCATTTGACTTCTACACACTCTGTTTACTAACATGAAGTCAGGCTGTTACTACTGCAGTGTGTCTGTCAGTACTGACTCATTCAGTATCCTCTACTCTTATTACTAGTATTTCTGAGAGTTTCTTCCCATTCTTATTTTGACAGAATATATGGTTTTTGACTGACATGGCCAAAACCACTGAGAATGCCACCTAAATCTCTGTCCCATTGTAAGAGGCATCCAGCTCTTAGATGACAGCTGTTTGTATTATAAGATAAATCCTTAATTTTATGGAATATCTTTACATACAGGGTATCAGCATGTTTGTTGACACCTCCTTGCACCCATAGTGAAGACATTTTTTGATAGGACTTTTTCTTCAGTGGTCCATTTTGTAAGGCTGCTGTGCTGACTAAGGATGAGATAATTGACTACGCACCTGGCTTCGCCTAGTTGTCCTCTACACACACACACACACACACACTCTCTCTGTATTTATTAACATGAAGTCAGTAAATATCTGTGTTCACAGTCTCTTCTAATCCATGATATGTGTCGTCCTCAGTTACTAGTGCAATGTCCCTGACAGTACTCGCTCATTCCTTACTTCTACTCTTATTAAGTAACTCATGGAGTACTGAATTAAGGTTTGTAGATAAGGTAGTTCATCTTTCAGTTTTTAATAAATTAGCTAAAAAGTTCCAAAAACATTTTTACTTTGTCATTATAGAACACTGAGTATAGATTGCTGAGCAAACACTGCAATTTTACCCATTTCAAATGAGATCTACAACACAATAAACTGCAAAAAGTGAAGCCACTGTATATAGTATACATTAAATTGTTTATTTCATTTAAACCACTGTATATGTATCATAATTCCTGTTGCTGTGCTTTGTTGTTTCTTAGAAGGGGAACAAAACTACAAAATATATTGAAAAGTTAAAAGTTTGTCTTTTCTTAAGCTGGTCTATTTTCTCTTTATTGTGGTCACTGACATCTTCTCAGTATACCATAACCTGATCATATACCATACATCCATGGTAAGATGGTGCTAACCTGATCCTTGATAAAGCTTTATTTGTCTTTAAAGTCAAGCTTATCCATAAACATTATCAGGTGACAATTTCTTTTGACAATTCTTGACCTGCTTTACAAGGCCCAACAAGATAAATATATATATATTAACATTTAGTGTTAGAAGCTGAAAAGTTTATCTAAAAAAAAAAAACTCTTAACTTTCCCATACGCAGACAACATACATTTTTGTAGACTAATTTGTCTTCATTTAGACAGTAGTTATCTAAGCAGTCAGACCTATAGAAGATTCACAGTGAGCGTCAGAGTGGCAGGAGTGCCAAGCAACTGTTCCATTAACTCTAATCTTAAATGAACCCAGATTTTTAGGAGGAAAAAAAAAAGGACTTTTATAACTCCGCCTGTCATCCATGTTTTTAACACCACAACCACATATTGCATATTTACATGTTAAGAATCTGATCTCTCAAACAGTCCAAAGATTTATGCATTAGGATTTGTTGCCTTGCCCTGCTGACCAATACAGTACAATTCAGCTAGATCCCAATTTGAACCAGCTGGACCTAATGCCTGGTTTAGACTACGTGATTTTTGTCATAAATTCTTGGACGAGGGATATGATAGACTACATGTTGGTACCCAGCAGATCACAGCTTAATGTTGTTCATGACTTGGAGGTGCCAGGGACCAGGAGAAGAGTGTGTGTGATACTGGCTGCTTGTGTTTGGAAAAGCATAAAATCTCAGGGTAAAAAAAAGCTCATTCCGTTGCACAAAGTAGGCAGCAACCTATGTGTTTCTGTCCTTCATGGAGAACTAGCAGTTAAAAATAAACGTTTTAAGCCGTTAGTAAAACCGACAACTATCTAGCTGAGTTCTAGGACCAGGAGTCAATTTCAACTTGCACGGAATTAATTTCCTCCATGGTAGAATATAATGATATACAAGTCTTCAGAAACTCCTGCAGGTTAATCTGGACTAGCATTGAATCACACGTCCTGATCTCAATTCATCCTAAATTTGGGAATGCCTCATTTGTTTCTTTTATTTTTAATGAACACAATACTACTTATGTTTGTTGACTCACATTTTCAGTCTGTTGAAGAGGTTGTTTAGATAAATAGATGTTACATTGTATGAGCACCATTATTATTTACAGCTTTAAAAACCAGAATCTGAGAATGCATACATCTCCTAGATATACAAAATTTCTATAATTTCTCACTCAAATTTATGGAGATTCCTTTTTAATATATTCACAAACTTGATCACGCAGAGTACAATGCCTTAAAAATTCTACAGTAGCTCTGTCTTGTATATAGCACTATAACTTTATTTCTGAATACTCTCAGCCCCACTGTAGCAGCTTCTCCATAGACCGTAGTACAGTGATTGCTCTGGGAGGCAACCAGCAGATCGTCTCTCCTGCAGTACCACCACATCAAGTCCCACAGTGGAATCCCACTCCTGTGGAACGTCCTCCTCCAGATAGCAGGTAAATGTTTCTATTGTGTTAATAAGATGTTTTGTTTTCTTGCTCTAATGTACTTATTTGTTTTTGCTGGTGTTTGAAACACATGCATGTTGATTTTCAGTGAACAAGCTGGTGAAGAATTCCTGAGATGCATTGCAGCCAACAAGCCTCTCCCAGACTATCTGAAGGGGGACATGGCATACAACCTTGCTGAAGCATTTAAGTCAGCTAATGCCCTGAAAGAAGCAGTCATATCAGACTCGGAGTTCCAGAAGCATGTGACTAGGAGCAAAAGCCATAGTCGTAGTAGAAGTCACGGTAGAAGTCGCGGGAGATCAAGAGCCAAAAGCCGAGCACGCAGCCGAAGCAAAAGTAGAGCACACAGCCGAAGCAGAGGAAGGAACAAAAGTCGAACTCGTGGCAAAAGTCAAGCTAGAAGCAAAAGCAGGCCAAGAAGCAGCAGCAAGGCACGAAGCAGGAGTCAGAGTCATGGCCGAAACAAGAACAAAAGTCATGTACGGCACAAGAGTCGGGGCAGGAGGTCCAAGTCGCGAAGTAGCGGTAGTGAAAAGAGCCATGCCAAAGACAAAAAGAGAAAGAGGAGTCCCAGTCAAAACTACGGGAGCAGTACTAACAGCATTAATACTCTAAAAGGAAATAGTCTGTTAGAAGGATTGAAGCTGGTCATGAACAGCAAAGAACTGGATAAGCGGTTGCCCGCACTCAAAGATGCCATTCTCACTATTCAGGTAGGGCTTTTAATTCATTTTGCATAAAATCAGTTTCAGTAGATTTTCAGTGTAAATCTTCACCAAAAGTGTGATTCTTCTATTTGGGTACACCAAGGTCACACTAGGCAGCACTTTCATAGTAGAGTTCCATTCAAAGCAGAAAGTTCTGTATCAACTACAGGGCAACGCACACTGGTGGTGGTGCATCTTGTCATATGACACCCATAAGACAAACAAGCAACAGAGCAAATTTCATGTGCAGACCATCGAAATAGGTAAGTACTTATGGCGACGCTGGGAAAAGAAGACAATAGTGTATCCTGATGCATTGCCGTGTGTTAACCTGCTATGATGTAATGTATGTCAGTGCACCACCAGTGTGCGGGCTGGCATGGAAAATAATGTGTTCGGGTGTTATGATGCGCATCACGTGCCACCTGTATGCGTTGCACTTGCTGCATGTAGCAGCAGTTTGCTTTACAGTTTGGTGTCTGCTGAGGTTTAACAAAAATAAACCTTATCTGTACCGCTACAATACTAAACAAGCTACAGACTGAAAGAGACGTTTATGGGAAAATAATATTTCTAATGGCACAAGTTTCTGTTTGAAGAAGAATTAGAATATCCCACTGAGCTATTTGAATACCTTCACTTACTGCAAATTCCAGTATTTAGTGATTGGTATGATTGTTCATGAGGAGACCTAATCAAATAATTGTTCAGTATTAAAACAAACATTATATAAAGAAATTATTCAATAAGAAATGACAAAGTTTTGCACAACAGTTACTGTATACTATAATTTTATTTGCGGACATTTAAACTATTGCTTGCATAGACCGTACCTGATGTAGGCTTGTACATCATTGTTTCCCACATTAGTAGCTACAGTGAGGCAAATAAGTATTTGATACACTGCCGATTTTTCAAGTTTTCCCACTCACAAAGAATGGACAGAGCTGTAATTTTCATCAATAATTTAACTGTAATTTTCATTTCTCAACTGTGAGAGACAATCTACAAAAAAATTCCAGAAAATCACAGTTAGATTTTTAAATAATTTATTTCCAGTTTATTGCATGAAATAAGTATTTGATACAATATAAAAATAGAACTTAATATTTGGTACCGAAACCTTTGTTTACAATTACAGAGAGACGTTTCCTGTAGTTCTTGACCAGGTTTGCACACACTGCAGCAGGGATTTTGGCCCACTCCTCCACACAGGTCTTCTCCATATCTTTCAGGTTTTGGAGCTGTCGCTGGGCAACACAGAGTTTCAGCTCCCTCCATAGATTTTCTATTGGGTTCAGGTCTGGAGACTGACTAGACCACTCCAGGACCTTGAAATGCTTCTTACGGAGCCACTCCTTAGTTGCCCTGGCTGTGTGTTTGGGGTCATTGTTATGCTGGAAGACCCAGCCATGACCCATCTTCAATGATCTTACTGAGGGAAGGCGCTTGTTGCCCAAAATCTCGCGATACATGGCCCCATCCATCCTCTCCTCAATA